GCCACTTCCAGTTTTCTGGTATTCATTGGAGAAAAGAATCTCTCAGACTTTTCTTGCCCGGGCTGGCTTTGAACCCTGATCCTCAGATCTCAGCCTCCAGAGTTAGCTAGATGACAGGTGTGAGCCACCAGCACCTTGCCAAGAAATTGTATTATGTCACATCATTTCCTGAGCTGAAAAAATATGATCATTTAGGGTAGAAAGAATATAATAAAACAAGTAATTATTAAAATAAAAAGACGTCCTTAGGCCACCTAAAAAATGTAACCTCCTGTGCTATACATATCAGGATGCTTTCCAAATTTTACTGGCCATAAAAATCGCTCCAGGGCCTTGTTAAATGCAGATTCTAATTCAGCCCAGCCCGGGTGGGTTGCAGTCTAAAATCTTTCATCTTTAAAGCCACCGATTAAGTCGCAATTCAGCAGACAGAACAATCACAGGCCCAGGAGCCCGAAGGCCAGCCCAGCTGATACTGGACCTCTCTACCCAACATTCTTCTCCCCACCCTGTGACTGACATCTACTATTCCCCTCCCTCCAGATGATTGACATTCACTGTTCCCTCCCCCCACATGACTGATGTCCATTCTTTCCCCTCCTCTCCGTATGATTGACATCCACTATTACCTCCCCTTCATATGATTGACATCTACTGTTCCCGCCCCCTCCATATGATTGAAATTCACTGTTCCCTCCCCCTCCATATGATTGACATCCACTGTTCCCGCCCCCATCATGATTGACATTCATTGTTCCCTCCCCCACATGACTGATGTCCACTCTTTCCCCTCCTCTCCATATGATTGACATCCACTGTTCCCTCCCCCTCCATATGACTGATGTCCACTCTATCCCCTCCTCTCCATATGATTGACATCCACTGTTCCCTCCCCCTCCATATGACTGGCATCTACTCTTCCCTTCCCCTCCTTATGACTGACATCTACTCTTTGCCCTCCCCTTCATATGATTGACACCCACTATTCCCTCCTTCATATGATTGACATCCACTAACCCCCCTTTCATATGATTGACATCCACTATTCTCCTCCCCTCTGTATATGGCTGACATCCACTCTTTCCCCTCCCCCTCCACATGATTGACATCCACTCTTTCCCCTCCCCTTCTCCACATGATTGACACCCTTTTTATTCAAAGGACAAAGTCCTGGCTCTCTTACCGTGGACCTCAGGAAAACCTCCACAAGTGTCTGGCTCTCCATTTCTCCACACGGTGTCCACCCTGGTATTTTCTGGTCCCCTTGCAGTGGACTGAGTGAAGGTGACGTGTCATTGGATGGGGGTGCTGGCTGACCATGCTGGCCGTGGTGACCCCCTCTGTTACTCGCCTGGGTGCCAATGCATTGCTTACCTGCAGCAGGTATGCCACACGAGTGAGAAACAAACCTTTTATGGTGTTAAACATCAAGAGGATGTGGGACTTCCTTGTTACTGCAGCAAAACCTCGCTGAACCTGACTGATACAGCCTGGATTCCCCCCTATATTCCCTTACCCACTTTCCACCGTGTAAGCCGGAAGCCAGGGCTGGTCAAATTGCTTTATTATTATTTATTTTTAATCTCCCACATCTTCAGCCACTATTCTTGACCCATCTTTGCTTGCGTCCATTGTCAAAGATTACGATCAAATGGGAAAGCAAGCTTGGTGGATCACACCAGTCTTCCTGGCTACTCAGGAGGTTGAGATCTGAGGATCGTGGTTCAAATTCAACCTGGATACGAAAGTCTATGAGACTCTTTATCTTCAATGAACCACTAAAAAGCTGGAAGTTGAGCTGTGGCTCAAGTGGTAGAGTGCTAGCCTTGAGCAAAAAAGCTCAGGACAGTGCCCAGGCTGTGAGTTGAAGGCCCAGGATTGGCAAAACAAAACTAAAATAAAACAAAAACAACCCAAACAACCACAACAACCACAACAAACCTGTGAATGTTAATAAGGCACTGATGACTTATGCCTGTCATCTTAGCTACTCAGAGGTTGAGATCTGAGGATCACAGTTCGAAACTAGCCCAGGAAAGGCAAATCCATGCGACACTTTCTCTCTAACAAATCATCGAAAAGCTGAAGTGGTGGTGTGGTTCAAGTGGTAGAGCACCAGCCCTGAGTGTAAAAAAGCTCAGGCTAGATGCTGTCATATACCACATACCATGGCTGTATTTGCGTCCTCTAGTGCAGGACATAAAGGTGTAGTAGAACAACACAGAGACTAGAAATTCACGAAATGAAGAAAACGTATGAGATTTCCCAAGCCTGGTGCTGGGTCGCTCACTCAGGAGGTTGAGATCCAAGCCAACCTGGGCAGAAAAGTGTGGGACACTGCTCTAAAATCACCAGCAGGGCTGGGAAGGTGGCTCAGTGGTAGAGCGCTTGCCTTGCATGCATGAGGCCCTGGGTTCGATTCCTCAGCACCACATAAGCAAAAAGAAAAAGCCGGAAGTGGCGCTGTGGCTCAAGTGGTAGAGCGCTCGCCTTGAGCTGAAGAGCTGAGGGACAGCACCCAGGCCCAGAGTTCAGGCCCCACGGCCGACCTAAGGAAAAAAAAAAAAGGTTGGGGCACAAATCAGTGATTAAATGAACGTTCAACTTGTATTATCTCATGAAACTCCAAGCAGTGACCAGAAGAAGAGTATAATTCCATCCTGGGGCCTCTGGTGAGCTGTGGTTTTTGTGGTTTATGATTTCACCAGGATCTTTGGCTAAAATTACAGCTTTTTGTTGACAACCGGGTCCCTTCATGCTACTGTTAGAACATGGCAAAGCCCCAAGGCTGGAGTGGAGCTCCAAGGCTGGGGTGAGCTCATGTTCTCAAGATGGCGGGCTTAGGAGAAGCCATCTTCCTGCGGCTGATCTCTGCTTCTTCCTCTTCTGCTCTTCCTGTTCTTCCCTCATCCTCTCCCCTACTTGCTCACCTTGCATTTCTCTCCCATGATTTTTTTTTTTTTATATAAAAAGCCGGAGTTTGCCAGGCGCTGGTGGCTCACGTCTGTCATCCTAGCTACTCAGGAGGCTGAGATCTGAGGATCGCAGTTC